AACAGTTCTTGGGCCTTGGACTTTACCATGATAATTTAAAAAGACACTGTGATACTGCCACACACACTGGGGGCATTAGGGGTTGTGGGACTGGTCAGTGCTCAAATTTAGGCCTAGTATGTTATTACCTATTCCATTTAAGTACATTTTTGGAAGCTACTTGTGGTGTAACTCCTTATGCATTTAATGTGTATCTTACTCTTGTTTTTTCTTGGTTGATGTTTGGAAATGGATGAAGAATCTAGCCTTGAGTTCTTTGCCCTTGACTGAATGTGATAACCTGGTTTTGATTCCACCTGTCCCCTCCCCCCTTTACTTAATTTCATCTTATTGTTTTGCATTGTGTTTCTAAATTACTGGCTTTGGCTTGGTTTTCCCTGAATGTTTTTGCAGTCTGGTTTGAGTATCTGGCTTTGGGCATCCCTCCTGAACTTGGACTCCATCTGCACTTATTGTTGTGGTCCTTGGAAAGCACAGCTGGGTTTTTTTTTTTTCCTCAGAAAGGTGACACTGTTTGTTAATATTTTATATGTGTATATGTCTTTCTCTTGTCTTCTCTTGAAAGACTGGAAAGAAGGCCGTGAAAGCCGTCCTGTGGGTTTCAGCAGATGGACTCCGAGTTGTGGATGAAAAAACTAAGGTTAGATTTGTCTGGACTTAATTGTAATCGTTTGTGTGTTGTGTGTTCTCCCTAGTGATCAGGTCTGATTCCATTAAGCTATTGTAGTCACTGTACATCCTTCCGCTTTGTCCAAAGTGCAGCCCTCTGAGGGATTTTTAGTATGCATGAAGCCAACTTAGTTACTCATTACCTCCTTAAAAAGGAAATTTTCTCAGCAGTACACTTCTGGCTTGTTTCACATGACAGAGCATGTTTGTTCTGCTCAACATTAGCATTTAATGTTAAAATTGGGGTCTTTTTTGTTCCTATATATAACAAAACTGTTATCTACCAGAGATTTTACTTGAATTATGAGTAGCAATGTCTGAACCTGCATGTCTTTCCTTCCTGAACAGTATGTTTTGAAAAGTGATGTTTAAATTGATTAACCTGCTTTTTCTCCAGAAGCCTCTGTTAAGGCAAATCTCATGAATCTGGAGGTTGGTTCATTTAGTAAACATTTATTTAGGTCCAATAAATTACGTAAGTACTCTGAGCAGCATTCGCTGTGTGGGAGAAAAGAATCCCACAGGACTCGGCTTAACCTTGACATTATGTGTCTGTGGGTCTGGAGGATAGAGAAGACAGACTGTCTGTCTTAAGGGCAGAATTGTTACAAAGATACAAGTAATCTTGAATAAAAATCTCCCAAGAAATGGCCAAAGGCCAGGAATTTCTTAGCTCAAATGTGACCTCTGCAGTTAGTTAAACCTAGAAATTACTTTTGTTCTAGAAGAAAGGGAGAAAAGCTTATCAGATAAAGAACACTTTTTTACCACATGGCTTTTAACTTGCCTAGTTTGGTTGATTATTCAAAACGTTGATGACCAGAATTGTAGTAATTTCATCACTTTTGAGGAGTTTTACTCTCCCCCATACTAAAAATAAAAATAAAGAGTGGCCTTTAGAGGTAAATGGTTGCTAGCATATGCAGTCATTTTGTTCAGTTTTTCCAATAAGAATGTGGGGTTTTGTTTTTTTTTAATGCCATCCTGGAGGAGCACTGCCTCTCTTGGGGTGGTAGAATACATTGCTTTACAGTTTAAGGGTGTGATGCTGCTCTCTGGTGGCCCAATACAACATAACCAGTGGTTTTGCTCAGATAATAAATCCAGTGATACTAGTATTGGTATCAATGTCTATACCAAAGAAAATAACTATTTTCACAAGCTATCATGAGACCCTCTCACCCAAGTAATAAATAGAATTGGCTCTAGACCTCACATGTTTGCTTTTAAGATGTTTCTCCTTGAAGTACATTTTTTTTTTTTTTAGGAAGCCATTTGATAATGTGTTCCTTATAGAATTCATTGAATGTTTTAGTGCAGAAAATAAAACAGTCATAAAAATTAAAAATTTAAGTTTCTAAGGAAGAGAAAAGGGGAAAATCAAGATCTGAATTACAATGCATATCAGGAAGACAGATTTCTATAAGCTCAAGGCAACTATGGGATCATATGGTGCCATGGAAAGAATACTGAAAATTTGTGGTTCAACTCTGAGTCTGAATCCCATTTCTACCTCTCTGTGCCTGTGTGATGTTGGGCAAGGCACTGAACCTTTACAAGGAGGCTGAACCTTGAAGGTCCCATCTACCTCTAAATTTGTGATCCAAGACTTTCCACCAAACCTGAGAATCCAAGGCAAGAAGATGAATCCAACAAATGAACAGAATGATTGCCTAAAGTCAAACCTAAAAACACTAAAGCAATAAAAGAGATAAGAAAGGAAACCAACCAGTCCACAACCATTAAAATGTGGATAGAGAATAGAGAACTGGCCTTGAGGCCAAGAAAACATGGGTTCAAGTCCTACCTCTGACTGTGACCTTGTGTAAGTCGCTTAACTTCTTGACTCTCTAGGTAAATCTTTTAAGAGTATAGATTGAGAAGGTGCCAACCTGCATTGCTAGAGGGAGTTTTCTTGCCCCCGAATTCTCCTATGCCACAGGTCAGTACCTGGCTATACTATGCGCCAGGTACTGGGGCTCAGAGCTAGAGTTACAAAAAGAAAAATAAAATGGTTCTTGCCCTCAAGTTGCTTGCAATCTGTTGGGGGAGACAATATGTTCACAAATAAATATACTCAAAATAAATACAAGGTAATTGGGGAGGTAATTCTCCTAGCAGAACCTGGAGGGATTAGGGAGGGCTTCGTGTGGAAAGGTAGGTTTTTGAGCAGTTTGAAGGAAACTGTGGATTCTAAGAAGTGATGTAGTGAGTGCATTCCAGGCACGGGGGACCGACTGGTAGGTACAGAGATAAACTGTCATATTTGAGGGACAACAAAACTTGACCATGGTTATGTTTGTGGATAGCAATGGAGGAGCTAGTCAATGGGGAAAGACTGAAAATGGGGATGGGGTGGAAGTAGGGATGATTATGGACTTGATTTGCTTAGAGAAGATGAGAGGAAATGGCATCCAAGGAACATGTAGAAAGATTGCGCTTGGCAAAGAGAAGCATCACTTCTTAATCAGAGACTGGAATAAAGGAGGAGAGAATGGAAGATGAAAAGGCATCAGAATGTAGACAAAAAAAGAAAGTGAGGTCATAGCAAATGATGTCTTATTTCATCAGTAAAGTATGAGGAGACCTGGTCTTCACCTGAGAGGACGGGGTAAAGAGAACATGTGGGAAGCTTGAACAGATGAGAACGTTTGAACAGTCTTTGTGGATAGTGGGATATAGAATCAGGGAGAAGTAAAAGAATTGTCTCAATAATAGGATTCTTTTTTTTTTGTTTTTGAACTCTGTAATGGAAAAGTAGTTAATTTTTTTAAAGTTCTTTGGCAGAGAAGGAAAAGTCCTGGAATACTACCTTTTCCTCTCTCCCTCCAAAAAGCCAAACAACTGTGGCCATATAATAATAATGAATAAAGGTCCCATGTAGAACAAGGGAGTGCCAAAATGGAAGGAAGATTGCCCTTAAAGACAATAGTGCTTATCAAACCTAGCTTTATTTAATCAGTTTCCTTAGACTATTTACAGAAGATTTTACAAAACTGCTTACTAACTGCTGTTTCTGAGGAATGTGAAGCAGACAGAAGACAGGAAAAAGGGCAAGTATAATACTCATCTTGAAAAGGAAAAAAAGGATCTATCAGCTCAACAATGATACTTGGAGAAATGCTACCCAAAAAAATCATCAAATAAGTCATACACACTTACTTAAAGAGCACAGGCTACTTGACAATGAGGCTACACGGTAAGCAAGCAATTCCTACCAAGCTAAGAATGAAATTCATTCTTTTCTATGAAATCTAGGAAAGAAGGGGGAAATATTGTATAATGTGACTTTGCTAACAGTTTTTATTCTATACTAGACAACTTTTATCATAAAATTAGAAAGATAGTAGTTTAAACTATTTCACCAGACTTTAGTCTTCTACAAGACATCTCTAGGGTCCCTTGAGTGTAATGTCAAAGCAGATGTTCTTTTGACTTGTGTCTCTCATATCACCTTTCATTCCACCCCAGCACCTCCAGTATTAAAATTCCAGATTATGAAAAACACTACAAGAAAGTTTCATAAGCTCGGAATTTTAAAAACACTATTTTAGATCGTACTGTCAGATATCTAACTAGAGTATCATTCTCAAAATGAAATTTTTAATATTTTAACATCATTTTAGAGGAATATGAACCCATGGAAATCATCACTAACAAAAACTGGAGAAAGAGAAATTCAATTTACGGTCATAACAAAATGTTTTAAGTAACTGGGATGTAACCTACCAAGAAAAGCATAAGCCCAACATAATGGTAACTATAAAACAACTTTAAGAGAAATAAAGGAAAAATTAAATAATTGGAGATATATTGAATGACAAAAATTGATCACATTCTAAATCACAAAAAAAGGTGGAAATCTTTTATAAATAAGATCAAGAAGCCGTCCATTTTGCATGGTATATTTTAGTTGAATTTCCTGATCCTTTTTTTTTTAATCTTCTGGAAACAGTGAGCTGACTTAAATGACCTCTTGAAATCTCTTGTAATTCTACAATTCTCTTTATTTTAATGTGTGTATAATATATATAGGATGTTCCAAAAATGCAGTTTTAAACTTAGTATTAATAATAATGATAGCTATAATAGCTTTAATAATATAAAACTTCACTAAGACTTGTGGGACACCCTGTATTTGCACACATATGGATATGGATATGTGTGTATAAAATATAGATTGTTGGGTCATGGACCACTTTGGCAATGTGGAAAAGTGTATGGGATGGACGGCTTCTCAGTATAATGTTTTTAAATGCATAAAGTAAAAGATTACAAAAAAGTCAATTCTGTTGAAATGAAGATGTAATTTTTTTCCCCGTTCAAAGTCAGGGAACCTCTGAAATCTATTCATGGACCCAGATTAAGAACCCCTGGTCTAGATAACAAAGCTGTGACTCATAAATTTTTATGTTTTGTTTTTATATCATTGTTATTTTAAACTAATTAGTTTTATCTCTGTAGATATTAAATGTAAGCTATATATAGACATACATGCACAAATTGGATAATGTTCATCTGTTGCTCACAAAAATTTCCTAGTTTCTCCCTGTGATGCTCTTATCCTACCTTTCATATGCACCCAAAAATGAATGTCTCCTTTCCTTTGGCTGGGTAGGTAGTACGTAGCCAGATTTCTGAGCACATTCTGTTTTATTCCATATTAGAGTAAGATCCAAATGTTTTAGACTTTTGAATTTGAGTATTGTAAAATTAGTAAAGCCTTTCTTTCCTTGTGCTTCAATTTTCTAGGACCTCATAGTTGACCAGACAATAGAGAAAGTTTCTTTCTGTGCCCCAGACAGGAACTTTGACAGGGCTTTCTCTTACATTTGTCGGGATGGCACTACACGACGCTGGATTTGCCATTGTTTCATGGCCGTTAAGGACACGGTGAGTTTGTGGCAGCCTGTTTTTTCATAATTACATCCAGAAGCTGGACTTTCTCCAAATTTGGTTAGTCATAAATTTCCCTCCCAAAAACACAGGTAAGAAACTAGATGCTACAGCAGCTACTGATGATATAACAGTGCCCAAGCATAACTTTCTTCTTCCCATTTGGTCATCAAGTTCAAATAACCCAGCATTACATTCAGTAAAGTGAATAGTAGACATTCAGGATTAGTCTAGGGTCCCTGGAGATTAGCTAATGTGCTCATGGCTGTGTACATATCTTTTCGTATGTATCTTCTTTTCTTATGTATTTTATTTTTTTTAAGAATTAAGTATTTTATTTTCAATTCCAAATTCTCTCCCTTCTCTTCTCTGCCCCCATCCCTCCCAAGAAGGCAAGAGAAATAAAACCAATTATAAATATGTATAGACATATAAAACATTTCTGCATTAACCATGCCCCCACCCCCCCAAAAACAAGCAAGAAAAGGAAAGAAGTAGAAGAAAACATGCTTCGATCGGTACCCTGAGTACGTCGGGTCCCTTTCTGTAGGTGGATAAGCTGTTTCCTCCTGAGTCTTTTTGGAATTGTGGCTGGTCATTGTGTTGATCCAAGTCCTTCAGAGTTGGTTAGCTTTACAGTATTGCTATAAATTGCTCTTTTGGTTTTGCTCACTTCACTTTGCATCAGTTCATACAGGTCTTCCCAGGTTTTTTCCGTAACTATCCACCATCATTTCTTACAGTAATGTGTATATATTTAAATTTGAAGTAGCTCATTAGAATTTCAGTTTTCTTAAACTTGAATGAAAGTTGGTTAGCCTACCTGGGAGCTACTTTGATGAAATTAATAGCAGTTGTAAGCACTTTATGTAAACTAGCAAAAAAAAAAAAAAAAAAAAA